CCTTGGGCCTGACTTCAGTTCCCTTGACCTTCTGTAAATGTGGCAGCCTGTCCCTGAACAGCGACTGAAAAATCCTGTGATTCTGACATTTGTCTGCAAATTCCGTGTCGGCTTTGACAGGATCGTGTTTTTCAGCAAAATACTTTACCTGTGACTTTAAGCCAAGCAGCATGGAGACCTCGGTCTCTGTCTTCAGCCTGGTGAGCAGAACTCACACGCGGGGACATTATACAGGGCAGGGCTCCTCAGCAAGGGCAGAAATCTGTCTCCTTCAGAGAAAGAAGTGAAAAATCAATTTAGGCCCTCAGGAGCCTGAAAGGGCAGGGCTGAGCTGAAGATGCATTGCCCGGGTTTCATTTCAACCCAGCAGGATCTGTCCTCCTTATCCAACAAGACCTTGAAGCGTTCCTTCAACCTAAGTAGGTTGTTGTAATCTTCTGGGGCCTATACTGGCTTTCCACTTACGGAAACCAAGCTTTGAACTCCAGGGGATGAAACCAGGTGAAAGTCATTGCATATCTAGTCACAGGTACAAGATCCAGGGCACGTGAAATGGGAAACGGGGCTGAAGGCACAGCACGAATCTGAATTTTGGGGCAAAAGGGTACGCGTAGAACTTGAGCTGAAGAAGTAACTTCAAGTTGCTTGTAGTTCCTGTATATGAGTTGTCGGTTTTCGTGGTTCAGCAAGTAAGGAAACGCGAGGCACTAGCATGACAGATATTTCATGGCAGGCCACTTTTGCCACAAAGCCCCAGCCTGGCCAAGGCTAAGGAGGCCAGATGTCGAGAGGTATAAACAACCATCATGTGAGATCCTCTGGTGCATCATGAGGAAAGGAGGGGAACTGACTAATCTTTCTCTGACACTCGTTCTTAGCGTGAAGCCCTTTATAGTAGGACATTCCTCAGCGATATCTCACACCCAGCGGACAAAGGGAAGGAGACCAGACATCCTCGGACAACTGTTGCTCACCAACAGCTCTAGAAAGCTGCCTTCCAAAAAGCAAAATGCTCTAAGTCATCTTGCTTGCTTCCTTCTGAGGTTACACTCTTACCATCAAAGCAGTTCATCAACAGACCGCTGATAAACTGATTATCAACAAAAATAGTTCCTTTTTCTACTGCTGGAAGAAATGCAGCAATTTTGGTTCCTCAAATGAGCTACACCGCTGTGGCACTTCTTCGGGCCTGGCTTCAGGGTACACCATCTTAGCTTAATGGGATTTTTCTATAGGCTTAGTTAAACACATACATAAGACTTCACCTGTTTTCAGCAATAGTGCTACTTTTAGTGCCACTCTAAGGTGGCGGCGTGCCACTTTTTTGGTATATAAAGCTTTAAAACACAAAGAAAAAGAATATATATCTTTAAATGAAACTATTAGAACTGCAAATTCCATCCTTCTTTCTTGTGAAATCCAACTCCTTTTCTGATGTTTGCACTTATCAAGCAGGTGACCCGGAGATTACTTTTTGTAATCAGGCATGATCGCTGTAAATTCGACAGGGCAGGCTGGAATGCAAAGGAATATAGAAAAACTGGGGTGAAGAACACCATTATTTTGGATGGTGGCTGAGCTTCATTTTCTCACTCTCTCCTCTAGTCTTCTCTCTCCTCTGGTATCTAGAAACATACTCTTTCACGTACCCTGCCACTCTGCAACAATGGGGACAAACAAATGGGTGAAAGTGTTGCGTTTGTAGGAGATACAACATCCTCTTGGAGAGTGAGTGGTAGTACATTGGCTGGTGTTCAAGGCTATGCTGGTAACTAGTAAACTGAGAAGACTGAAGTATACACATGTTGTATTAATAAAAGGCGTGATGGAGGGCAGAGAAACTCTGCTGCTCCATAAGGCAGGCCTTGGTGGCCCTGGAGATGAAAGGCACCCCGTGTCAGACAGGGCCTACATGTCCATGCTGTCTTTTTAGAGGCTGAGGGACTTTGGTCTTTTTAGTCTGGAGAAGAGAAGGCTGAGGGGGGATGTGATCAATGCCTAGAAATACTTAAAGGGTGGGTGTCAAGAGGATGGGGCCAGTCTTCTTTCATTGGTGCCCAGTGACAGGACAAGAGGAAATGGGCACAAACGTGAACATAAGAAGTTCCATCTAAACATGAGGAGGAGCTTTACTTTGAGGGTGGCAGAGCACTGGAACAGGCTGCCCAGGGAGGTGGTGGAGTCTCCTTCTCTGGAGACATTCCAAACCCACCTGGACAAGTTCCTGTGGGACTCTAGGGTCTCTAGGGTCTCTAGGTGGACCTGCTTTGGCAGGAGGGTTGGACTAGATGATCTCCAGAGGTCCCTTCCAACCCAATGTGATTCTATGATTCCACAGCGGCCATGCCGTGTCCCAACTCCTGCTTGTCTTAAGCTACCTGTGGTACCACCAGGCTCCTCTGTGGAGGAAAGAAGCTGCCCCAAGCGGGTTAAAATGTGCGTTGCCGCGCTCTCAGACCCCTGGCGCGGGGGTCCGAGGGCTGCCTCAGCACCAGGCCCCTCACCTTGACGCCTCCTGGTCCCCAGGGAGGGCTGGGCTCAGAGCAGGGAGCCATGCGAGGGGCAGCGCTGCCGGGGACACCCGTCGGGGCCGCAAGACCCCGCTCTCCGCCCCCGGGAGAGGGGGTCGGGCCGGGGGGAGAGGGAAGGGGGCCTCACCCCGGCGGGGTATGAAGGGGTCCCGGCGTTCCCCAGGGGGGCTCGTCTCCCCAGCGCGGCGGTAAACCGGCTTATGCCCAAGGCGATTTGCCCGTAATCCGCTGGGTTTCCCGGGGCGGGGAGAAG